TCCCCTTATTTCCTGTTTCTTTCCTACAGTTTTATAATTGTAATTTATATTTCTCTTCCATGCCTTGAGTTATTTTCTTTGTCTTTTAGCTTGTTCTGAAATAGTGTGATTTTGATCTGTTCCCAAGGTATGTCTCTCATTATGTGTAGGGAGTGTTGTTTGCTTTTTAATTGTTTTTTCTTAAAATAGCTATGAGATGGGACATTGATATTTTTCTGTTATTCATTTTTATGTAAAATTTGTTTTCCTGAACTTAGAGAAGGGAGTCATGATTCAGGATAACTTTTGTAATGTCACAGAGCTCCCTCTTCTGTTGTTTTTGTAAACTGTTTAAAAATATAATGGCTTCCTTTCCCTTTTTCTACTTTTATGTGGGTCTTTCTTTCCTGTCTCTGTTGTCTCTACCCTGCTCAATTTTGGTTCCAAACCCTACAACTTTTGAGGGAAAGCCCTATCCTGGAATGCAACTTTGGTTGGTAGGTTGATTTTAAGAATTTATATGACTCAGACTGCTCCATCCTTTTTCAGAATTTACCTCACACTCACTCATTAGTGGATTGGGCTAAACCTTTCCCATTTTCAGATTCTCTTTTCAAATTGGCTATCATATTGTCCAGTGAATAGACAGTGACTATTCTGAGGTACTCAAGTCCTTCAAATGCCCATTGCTTCTGTATGCATCCTCCTGCACAGATGCTGATTTCATGCAGGTCTCATAACTTTTGATCCTTTTTCCCACTTTTATTTTGAGTTTCATGTAGATAATTTTCACCTGTTGTTGTATGTATTCTGCATGGGATTTTGGTTTTGCTGTCTTAGTCATTCTTTTTGATTTTAGGTGGTGATTCAAGTAAGTTAAAAAATCTGTGATGTAGTATCTGCCACCAAGAGTTGAGGATCCACTCTGCATTCATATTTTGAAATTTCCCTGTATGGACTTGGAATTGCTGGCCTCTCGCTGATGGCCTGTCTCCCGTGTTTGTGCTTCCTTCTGAAACTTTAAAAAATCTGTTGACAGTTGGAAACTGCAAAACGTGTCACCTTAGAGAAGGCTAGAAAGAAGCAGTTTATCATTATAGTGAAAATGAAAGCATTTACACATTGAGGTGAAGTTGCAAATGGTACAGAACATGTTTGCCTACAGAATGAACAGCAGAAACTTTCTGAAGGCCAAAGAGCAAATTATGCAACCTGTGACGTGCTGTGCTTGTGTCTTTGAAAGTAATCGTAATAAGCGAGAAACAGGAAAGAGTGACTGGTAGGGTGAGGACAGCCTTTTAGTTCAAGGATTGCCATCAATGCCTGATTTGGGGGAGCTTAACTTTAATTCAGGGGAAGACAGGGGGTTAATTGAGGATAAATCCTGTGCGAAAACAGTGAGAGATGGACTTTGGCCACAAGCAGCAGAGAGTTTTATAAATTCAGGGCTCCTAAGACACCTGCTCAACATCAAAGTGAATGCCCAGTGGCTAATGCAAACACTAGAGACGGATTGGGCATTCCTTTAGGCTACTAGAAAACAAAGATAGTTAAAACTTCAATAGGATTTTTTTTTCCCAGCATAGTAAAAAAAATGGGAGGGAAAAAAGGCCTGATGGAAAAAGGTATCAGCGTAGAGAAGAAAGAAATTTCTAGTTGGAAAGTGACATAGGGCCAAATGACATACAAGTATATCCAGGCAAGTCCATCCAGGGACTGTTACCATAGTCACTTCTCAGTCCCTTGCAAACATAGTCACTTCCCAGTCTCTTGACTTCTTTACACCTACCTAGTGAAAGTTGCTCAGTCGTGTCCGACTCTTTGCAACCTGTGAACTATACAGTCCATGGAATTCTCCAGGCCAGAATACTGGAGTGGGTGGCCTTTCTCTTCCCCAGGGGATCTTTCCACCCAGGGATCGAATCCAGGTCTCCTGCACTGCGGGCGGATTCTTTACCAGCTGAGCCACAAGGGAAGCCCTGCACCTACCTAACCTGATAGTAGATAGAATAGCTTTTGTACAGTGTATACTGAATAGTGGAAGATTGTTTCATTGAAGGTGCAGAAACATTTTTAATATCAGTTTTTTACAACACCAAGGGGAGAAGGGTAAATCAATATAAATATTTATGCAGGGAAGTAAACTATTGCTGTCTAGCTCTGCCCAAGTGCAGAAGCTCTGGGACATGAATGGAGGTTGGTGGGGAAAATAGTGGGAGTTAATGAGTTCGGAGAGGGAACCACCAGCCAGGTCGTATGGGGTTTTGTTGGCCATAGTGGTAAGAACTTTGAAGTTTATTATAAGGTGTTTGGAAGCTGTTAGCAGATTGAGAGCAGGGGAACAGTGAACAACTGATGTAAATGATGTTTTCAAGCTAGCTGGAGGTCAGAAGTACTGTGTGTGGTGTGCTCTGGGCATAGTAATAGACATGTTAGAATGTAAAGAACCTGGGCTAATTTGATTACATTCTCTAAATTTATGGTTTTAGAGTTAAGAGCTACAAACATGAGGTGTTGAGATATATGTGTGCATATGTGTATACAGAAAAACACACGTTTTCTTATTTTTCAAGCAAAACTTGCTGAACAGTACTGAACCTCATTTCATATATTCTTACTTCTGTTCTCTTAATTTTTTTTTTTTAAACCACTAGTCACAGCCCAGTAAATTGACTTAGTAACACACTATTGTTGTTGTTCAATCCCTAAGTTATGTCCGACTCTTTGCAACCCCATGGACTGCAGCACGCCAGGCTTCCCTGTCCTTAACTATCTTCCGGAGTTGGCTCAAATTCATGTCCATTGAGGCAGTGATGCTATCCAGCCATCTTATCCATTAGTAACACAATAATGGATCAGAGTTTGAAGTTTGAAAACCACTGTAAATCTATAATCCCCTTATATAGCTTGCCAAGGCACATATAACTGAAAATGACCAAACCAGAATTCAGATATTGCCACATTTCCTAAGAATATATCTATTAAACAAACAGAAAAACAAGCTTGTTTATACAATGTTTAAGAGTAGGTTCCAGTGTGGAAAAAAATCTTGAGGATCATTGTCCCTTCTTGAGCATCTTGCCTATGCTTATCTCCCTGGTGTGAAATATTAAGGCCTTTAAATTTCAAATGTACTTGTAAAATATCAACACAGTTTTCTTTCCTAATGGCCTGTAATTAAATATATAAACTGCTAGCCAAAGTAACAGTTGGTCTTTCTTGAATTATAAACAGAATAAGTCATTTATAGCCAGCGTGGTGGCCTTTAAATTGTCGCCTAGGAATTAATGAAAAGAAATGTCATTTTCATATTTTCTGCAAATTGCTTATTCTTTTGTTGTGTGTCATTTTGGAAGAGGGTTTTATGGGAGGAGTGAAGGATAAATGAAACATGAGGGTCAGTATGAAGTAATGGGGGAAAAAATGTCCCTTTTAATTCTGTTATATAAACCCCTGCTTCTGTCTTCCATAGCTCTGTGACCTTTGGAAAGATACTTGCCTGTGCCCTACTTTTCTCATATATAAATGGAAATAATATCTATATCATAGCTTTAACGTTAAGATTAAATGAGGGCCTGGTGGTGCAGCATGTATTTTAATAAATATTAGTTTTCTTCTTTCCTTTCTTCTTTAGGAAGGAATTCAGTGAAAATGTGTTGCTAGAATAAGCAGGGCTGGAGAGTGTAGAAAAATGCAAAAAGAAAGGTACATCTTTTTTTATTGGTTGTTCTCTTCCTAGTAAGTCTGTTGTGTGTGATCCCAGTTGGTCATTTCTTTGGGGATAGGTAGGTGGTAAATAAGTAGGCTTCCTGTGCCTCCTGCCGTCCTTCCCCTTCTTAAAGAGGGAGGACTACCCGAGTGATGCAAGGCAAGTTTAGTGGGAACTAGAAAGTAATACCTTCACAGTTGATTCCAGTATTTTAGTTTCTCGTGTCTTCAGTCTGTTTATCACAAAGAATTTACTGAAGACATGTCAGTCCTGATACCAAGTATGTTAGTTCACTAATAGCTGTTCATATAGGTGTTACCCACTACCAGTTGTCCTTGCCTATGGAGTAAATAACACTTCCTTTGATTTAACCCAGAAATTATAGCGGCAGAGTTACAAAGTCAAAGTGAGATAAGAAGATAAAATTAGAGTTTTGTATAATTGCCTTTAAAAAATGTTTTATTGAGATATAATTTATATGCCATAAATTCAGTCTTTTAAAATGAACAAATTCAGTGATTTTTAGTACATTCAGAGAGTTGTATAACCATCACCACTATCTAACTTTAGAACCTTTTAATCACCCCAAAATGAAACGTTATACCCATTAACAGTTATTCACCCCACCCCATCCCTCCTCTCCTCTGCCCTGACACCTCAACCCCTTGCATCCACTAATGTGCTTTTTATATCTGTGGATTTGCTTATTCTGGATATTTCATATAAATTGAATTACACATGTCTTTTGTGACTGATTTCTTGTACTTAGCTTAATGTTTAAAAGTTCATTCATGTTGTAACATAAATCAGTACTTCATTACTTTTTATTGCCAAATAATTAATTCATATGGATATACTACATTTTATTTTCCTATTCATCAACTGATGGACATTTGGGTTTCCATTTTTTTGGCTCTAATGAATAATACTGTTGTGAACATTTGTGTACAAGTTTTTGTGAGGACATGTTTTCAATTCTCTTCAGTATATACTTCAGAGTGGAACTACAGGGTCATATGCTAGCTTTACATTCTAACATTTTGAGGACCTTATAAACTGTTTTCTGAAGTGATATACCATTTTGTCCCACTGGATTTTAAATCTCCCACTTTTAAAGTTCTGATTTTATACATAATGGAAAATCTTAGCTGAAATAAGCAATTTGAATTGATAGGGGGAAAAAATTCACCTGTAGTAGTTTGCAAAGTTGGAAGTACCTTTTTTTTTTTTTTTTGGAAGTACTTTTTTTAAAAGTAGGTTTGGAATTATTACTATTAATCGTTGGCTCTTTTTTTAAATTTTATTTTTGCAGTTTTATCTTCAAGACACTAAAAGTAGTAATGGTACCTTTATAAATAGCCAGAGATTGAGTCGAGGCTCTGAAGAAAGTCCACCATGTGAAATTCTTTCCGGTGACATTATCCAGTTTGGGGTAGATGTGACGGAGAACACACGGAAAGGTACGGGTATGGATCGATTTTTCCTATTATTTGTCTTGTTAAATTTTTTATTCTGTTGTTTAACGCTAACAAAACATTTCATGCTTGTAAAAGCAATTTAACTGTGACATTTCATGCAGTGAAATGTTGAGTGTCTCACTTTTCCTATTGCTTTTCTGAAATTTTAAATTCTGAAATATTAAATAGTTTATAATCTTTATCACAGTACCAAAATGTAAGGGCACTGCTGTGTCAGTTAAGAAGCAGTTGGCTGAAGTGACAGTATATTCAGCCAACAGGAGCTTAAACCATAAGGATGAGTGTGAAAACATTAGTCGCTCAGTCACTCCGACTCTTTGCAACCCTATGGACTGTACCCTGCCTGGCTCCTCTGTCCACGGAGTTATCCATTATCCAGGCAAGAATGTTGGAGCCGGTAGCCATTCCCTTCTCAAGGGGATCTTTCTGACCCAGGGATTAAACCTGGGTCTCCTGCATTCTGGGCAGATTCCTTACCTTCTGAGACACCAGGGAAGCCCCAAACCATCAAGATATCTATTATTAACTTATTAACAATAAGCCTGGAAGTAGGTTGGTCCAGACTTCGTTCAGTTGGCTCTGTAATGTTATCAGGAGTCCAGGCTCTTACTGTCCTCCCAGGCTGTTATCCTTTATGTGTTAGTTTCTTAAGCTTTTACTTGCCACCTTATGGTTTGAGGGTGATGGCTTCAGCCCCAGGCCTTATCTTCCCCACACCAGTGTCCTAAGCAAAAAAGATGAGATGGGGACAAAGAACCTTCTAGGGTGACTTTCTTTTTATGTTTGAAAGAACAATCTTTCATAGACTCCTTCCAGCAGATTCCTTCTTTTGCTCACTGTCTACGTGGGTGGGTCATGTATATAGCTTTAGCTCTAGTTACAGAGAAGCCGGGGAAGGAAGTTACCTGATCAAGGGGAGCAGGAGATCCATGACTAGCGTAGATCAATTATGATTTATCCCTTTGGTTGTGCGTTCATTGTTGCCCCAAACAAAATCAGAATTCTGTAGGCAGCTACTACAAATGTCAAATTTCATGTCTCAGTTTCTGAAATTAGAAGTTCTGCGACTAAATAAATTTAGATTATAATTCTGAGACTTTTTGGCCTTACCTAGTTCACTGTATAGTTTATGACTGAAATTATAATGACTGAATCATAAAACTAAAAAAATAGAAACCAAAAGCATGCCGTCCCACTTCTTGTAGTTTAGTATGCACAGTGGAATGATTGGCAAGTTTGTCCTTTTGTTTCTCTGAGCATCCTCTGATCTGAATACCCTAAGTTGTTAGCCTCTAACATTTTGCACAGTAGATGAGGGAATCCAGGTGTGATGGTGATGATGGTGTGTGAATATATGTGTCTTAGTTGCTCTGTCGTGTCCAACTCTTTGCAACCCCATGGATTGTAGCCTGCCAGGCTCACCTGTCCAGGCAGGAATACTGGAGTGGATTGTCATTCCCTTCTTCAGGTGATCTTCCCAACCCAGGGATTGAACCCAGGCCTCCCACATTGCAGGCAGATTCTTTACCATCTCAGCCACCAGGGAAGCCCTATATGTATGTATGCATATACATTTATGTACTGCAACTACAGTATTATTTTTGTTGGGTTTTGTTGGCCTTCTCAGGGTGTTAGGATTTGATACATGGATGTGTGCAGGGCCAGCGTCTTAGGAATTTTCATTTACAGTTGTAAAATAGAAAAGAAAATTTGTATTTTGATGCAAAATACTGAGTGCTTCTTACTTAGAGAACTCCACTTCTGTATAACCATACTGAGAACAGCTGCAGTGGACACTTTGATATCTCCTGTTGCTGTATCACATCTCCTCTGCTACCGAGTCATTCACGAAACATTTACTGAACCCCAGCTGTGAATAACCCAGAGAAGGCAGAATTTAATTACGTTGTCTTTCTCTCCAAGGAATATCTATTTTCTTGTCTTGCATTTCTCAAAGAGAATTAAGAGGTGTTAATTGGCAGAAGAATGAGGTAATCAAATACATTTAGGAAATGCTTAACCAAAGGTAGGCAAGACATCTCAGAGCTTTTAACATGCTAACATATGTGCAGGTCTCTAAGAGGGTAATCAGTTGAATGTAGGTAACTCCAAACTGTTTCCACTTTTCTTCCCCATCTTGCTGTGCAGGACACTTTACAAAATACTGTAGAAAGCTAAGAGCAAAACTGAGACTTAAGTGTTAGTACAGTATTATTTCAGCAGCATCAATTCTTGCAGGCTTCTTTGAAAATTTACATATTTTTTATGCCAACTTTAAGGAAATTAAGAAAATTTTCTTCGTCATTTAAAATGTTGTTTCTTTTGGTACTTAATTGGCTTGAAAAAGTTGACTTATATTATAATGCATGGCCTCTTGGGAGTCAGCTATGTCATGAATTGAGTATTACTATTTAAGCATATGCTTTAAAATAAAAAGATGTTGCTCTATGCTAAACATTATATCAGTTGGAAAATCCTGTTGAAATTGTGCAACATTATTGGATAACTGGTGGATCAAAGAAATCAAAAAAAGGAACTTCAAACTATGTGGAAAGGAAAGAGACTTTCCTACCAAAATATATTAAATCCTTTACTCAGATAAAAATTTACAATCTAAAATTTTTCCATTATTAAAAAAGAAAGACAAACAATGAAGGAACTTGGCACTTGGAAGAAATTAGAAAAAAAACAAGAAAAAGAAGTTTGGAAGAAGAAAAATGAAAAACAGAAATTAATGAAATGAACAAAAAAAATTTAGAAGGGGTAAACAAACCCAACTGCTGGTTCTTTAAAACAAGACAATAAAATAGGTAGTTCATAAGCCTTGATTCCTTTATTAGGTTAAAAAATACAAGGATTGAGAAAGGAGATATAAACAGATACGGGATATACCAAAAGAGTTCTTAGAGACTGTTACATACCAAACTGTGGCCAAAAAAAAAAAAAAATAGAGTAAATTAATGTTTTCCTGGCAAAAGTACCCCAAGATGTAGAGAACTTTCCAATTTTTTTTGGAGAGCCTAAAAAAGTTATTAAAAATTGACTAGAAACATGCATTTGAAGTTGAATTTGGCCTTATTAAAAAAAAAAGATAAATCCAATGTTGTGTAAATAATCCAATATAGGTGAAGGTGAGAAGCTCTGAAAATCGTTTAAAGAAGCCAGCAGCCTTTCATTAGTGCCAAATTCTGATACAGATAAAGTACAAAGAAAAAAACCTGTAATTTCATTTGTAACAATAGATAAAAAATTCTGGTTTGGATAGTAATAAATTCAGAAGTGAAGCTAGAATAAACTGAAGTAGGATTTACTCTAAGAATGCAAAGATAATTCAATTTGGGGGAAATATGTCAACATTGTGCACAAAATAAAGCTGAGAAATATGTACTGTAGAACCAGTGGATGTTGAAAAGGCAGTTGATCAAGTTCAGGAGCTATTCCTAGTAAAAATTGTAAATAAATAGGATGAAAAGAAAAACAAAAATTATAATTAAAACAGAAGAAAAATAACAAAAATGCTGCACATCTATAAAAATGCATGAACTAAGTTTGTGTATATCAATAAAGATAAATCTCAAACATTATCTCAAGAAAATTGCAAAAGAATGTATATGGTATAATACCCTTTACATGAAGCATGAATTCATGTACAACAATGCTCTGCTGTGCTTTCTTTTATTATATCAATTAAATTCTTTAAGATCTTTTAAAATTGAGGTATAATTAATTTATCATCTTGTGCTGGTTTCAGGTATATAGCAAAGTGATTCAGTTTTCTGTGTGTGTATATGTCTGTTCATGTATGTATGTGCATTGTTTTTCAGATTCTTTTCCATTATAGGTTATTAAAAGATATTGAATATAGTTCTCTGTGCTATGCAGTAGGTCCTTGTTGTTTATCTATTTTATATATAGTACTGTGTATATATTAATCCCAAGCTCCTAATTCATCCCCTAACTTCCCTATTTGGTAACCATAAGTTTGTTTTCTATGTCTATGAATCTGTTTTTGTTTTGTAAATGAGTTCATTTATATTATTTTTTTAAGATTCCATATATAAATGGTATATGAAATTTGTCTTTCTCTTATCTGACTTACTTCACTTAGTATGATAATCTCTGGGTTCATTGATGTTGCTGCAAGTGGCATTATTTCATTCTTTTTTATGACTGAATAGTCTTTCATTATGTATATATATACCACATCTTATGGTTTTCTCCAGATATATGCTCAGGAGTGGGATTGCAAGATCATATGATAACTCCATTTTTAGTTTTTAAAGAAATCTCCATGTTGTTTTGCATAGTGGCTGCACCAGTTTACATTCCCACCAACAGTGTAGGAAGGTTCCCTTTTCTCACACGCTCTCCAACAAATTATTATTTGTGGACTTTTAATGATGTCCATTCTGACCCATGGGAGTTGATATCTCATTGTTACTTTGATTTGCACTCCTTTAATAACTAGCAATGTTGAGAATCTCTTCATGTGCCTACTGGCACCTGTATGTCTTCTTTAGAGAAATGTTTATTTAGGTCTTTGGCCCATTTTTTGACTGGGTAGTTTGTTTTTATTGAATTATATGAGCTGCTTACATATTTTGGAAACTAATTCCTTGCCTGTAGCAAGATGCAAGATGTAGCAAATATTTTCTCCCAGTCTTTTCATTTTGTTTATGGTTTCCTTTTCTGTGCAAAAGCTTGTAAATTTAATTGAATTAGGCCCCATTTGTTTATTTTTGTTTTTATTTCCATTTCTCTATGAGACTCTAATGGTCGCTCTCTAATGCTTTTGAACACATTTATAATGATATCAAGTTGGACACTTGAAATGATAAAAAGTAATGTGTGTGGATCTATGAAAAGGATTTTTTTCATCAGTGTGCATAGGATAAAAAACAGTGGAAAGATAATTTTTAAATTGCCCTTCATGCACGTATTAAAAAGAATACGTTAGGATTGTATGGCTTGCAGGAATTTCT